TGGCACTTCTACTTTTTTTTCGTAATATAGAGGTGTCTGTGATATAGGTGTCCGAGATACAGAGGTGCATGTAATATAGATGTATATTCGTAATGTATTTTTTCGTAATATGGAGGCGTCCGTGATATAGAGGTGCGCGTACTATAGATGTATTCGTAATGTAGAGTTTTTTTCGTAATAAAGATGTGTTCTTAATATAGGTGTCCGTGATATAGAGGTGTACGTAATATAGAGATGTCCGTAATTTAGAGGTGTCCGTGGTATAGAGTTGCACGTAATATAGATGTATCCGTTATGCAGGGTTTTTCGTGATATAAAGTCGTCCGTGATATAGGTGTCTGTGATATAGAGGTGTATGTAATATAGATATATCTGTACTGAAGGAGTTTTTCGTGATATGGAGGTGTCCGTGAAGTAGAGGTGTCCGTGAAAAAAAAGTTACCGTAATATAGATGTGAACCACCGTCATGTAGATTTTTTCGTGATATGGAGGTGTTCGTAATATAGAGGTGTCCGTAAAAAAAGTTCCCGTAACATAGATGTGAACCACCATCATGTAGATTTTTTCGTGATATGGAGGTACCGTAATACAAAGGACATTTTTTCCATTAACAGGGCCACCAAAGAGGATGCTGTAGCCATGATATAGGGTGAACGGCAAAATATGTGGCTTACAAATTCATTTTTATTTACAAAATGATATTTTGGGATTAGATTAGTCAAATGAATGTTTAATCGATGGAAACTTCGCCCAAGTCGCAGCAAAGGTTAAAATCGCAACCATTACAATTGACCAATGCAATCTTCATGAATCTCCGTTATTTAAATTGTACAAAAAGACTTTGTTTATCATATTTTTGCATGCCCTAGATTCTGACAGAGAACGAACAACGAACACACTGCATTTCTATAAATAAAACTATAATTCATAAAACCTTATAACATGACAAAGCCGCAGAATCATCTTCAATAAAACATCAGTTGTAAGTAATCCATGTAAGCTAAAGAAAATAAACAATTTTTAGAAGGAAATTATTTAATTAAATCTAGTATTTATCTAAAGAAATGAGCTGGAAGCGAGCGTGCCGTGAGCTTTCCACACAACGAAAAAAAAAAAACAACAGAAAAACAACCCTAAAAGAAACAAATTGTACACATATATTCGGATAGTAAATGAATGGGTTCTTTTAGTTCAGTGAAAACTAACTGGACATGTCAGTACTCTCGTACTTTCCTATAGAATCTTATCAATAATGGAGTCATTTTTAGAAAACGCACTATACTAATGATAATTTTTGATGATTTTTTTTATATTCTTTAAGCTTTGTTCTTCAATTATACTTGGAGTTGATTCAACAATTACAAGAGATATTCGACTTGGGAGCTACCACCTTACCTAATAAGAATCTAATTATGATTTGCGGTTTCTCATACAGCTATTACAAAAAGGTTGGAAATTATATAAAAAGCAATATGCAGCGACGCCATTTTGTGCAACGCAACAAGGCATGATGGGAATTGTAGTCCTCGCACTTATCCATGTCCGCTAAAACGCCATTTKTGCTTTTTATTGCTAAAATAAAAGATATTAGTCTTATAGTTCTACAAAGAAACAAAAACGGATATTTTAAGGGGCTGAAAAATGTGCGAGGTTTACAACTACCATCATGCTTTCTTATACAAAATGGCGTCTCTGTACATTGCCAGACTGACAACCACAAGKAACTCTTGGCAATGAATATCTACACCATATACACGTGAAAATCTAATATCGTCAAGTAGGTACTCAATTAGACTATGAAACCACTAAGATAACACGCAAGGCAAACCATGTAGTGCAAAAAAAATGTTTTTTTTAGGACTACAATTACCATTCGACGATTTGGAATTGCAAATTTTCTCAGACAACATTTCTTGATTCTTGTATATAAGACGTATTTTACTGAGAGAGTTTTTGATGTAATATGATTTTCTGTGACAAATTAATTTTTTTAAATGGATTGCATTGTTATGTAACAATCATGCACTCCACTCCCCTCTGGCTAARACGCAGCTTTCTGGAAAGACTGGTTGCTAAAATCTTTTTTTCGATGCTTTCTTGAAAGAATTTTCGATCCAAAATGACGAGATTTTCCCTCCATTTTTTTTTCAATAAAAATCGTGGATATTTTACAATTATCTTGCAAGGTGAACGCCAAAAATTACGGGTGACATCTCACACCTTCTTATTTGTCTGTTAAAAAAATGAATCATTAAAAATTCACTCACAGCATCACTTCGCGGACAAATTAAACTTCACAGCATTAAAAATTAACCATAGTTGAGAGTTTTGCTTGTGAGATATGCTAGGCTTTCCTGGTGCTCGAGGAATCATGATGATTGTTATTGGAATTTGTTTTCTTCTGCATTTTTCTCTTGSTGAATTAAGGTAAAAATATCTTTGAAAAGTAGATTATATTACAAGGTATTTTGCACGGAAAAGATAACWATAATTACTTAAGTATTAACCTACTGTCAAGGGTTCAAGATCTAAAGACATTCAACATTGATCTTTGCTTTATTATTCCAGTACTTTGAGGAAGAGAAAATGATTTTAAGGGGTCCAAACTTATCGCATCGTGTTTTGTCTGTCATATGCTATCATTTTTTATGTCATCTCTATGCTGGCACTTCTACTTAAAAAAAAAAAAAAACTAAAACGATATTTTAGCCTATAATTACAATGTTTAAGCTGAAGAACGTCCATTTTTAAAACCATCTATACGTACGTACTGATTTGACCTACCGATATCTGAGAAACATGAAAGAAATTCCATTCCTCTTTTATCTTAATGCAATACCGCTTTAATCCACAAACAACMACCACCACCGCCAGCAAATTTCACWAAAATGCATATATTACCCAGAAAATTGCTTATTTTTTTATACTACCTCTATAGAATCATAATATTGTTTTTTGTGAGTCATTTTAACCAACTTTTCAATGCCGTTCAAATCGTTAATTATRTATATACAGTTTTTGCATTAAATGTACGTACAAAATTCAGAAACTAAGAGCATTTTTCACGAAAATACAAAGAACAAAAGCAAACAAAGAAACAAAAAATTTATTAATTTAAATGTCTGYAGTTTGMGCCATATTTTTAGAATTGATTTTATCTCACCAACATGCTGAGCGTTGAATTTTTCATGACCTTCTTAAATATTCGAACTAACGACTCCAATTGCAAGAGRCTATCATTGTGTTTAAGTGATTAGAAAAATGATTATTGGACTATTAAAAGTGTAGGTCGTTAAACAGTTTTGATAGTTTTGCTTTGTAACATGGGCGAATATCATTATTTAGTGTCGAATTCCCATTTCTATATAAAACAAAAAGAAAAAAAAAACAAGTAGAATTCCCTTTTAATTAATAATTAAGCTATAATTAGTGTGAAAAGTTTAAATAAACTTATTCAATAACATTATTTTTTTTTTTTTAATTTAGGACTTTTTGAATTTTTCAACCAATGTTGTCAGTTTTCGATAATAAATCTTCAAAATTTCCTACAATAACGTATTCTTCGTGTGCAACAAAATGACCAGGGATCCCCTGAGAAATAACGGAGAAAGCTATCGCCGCCATGTTGAATGAACTAGAGAAACTAATGAGGAATGCTTTGTAAGATGTTTCATCCAACATGGCGGCGATGACGTAACTTGCACGCCAAGAATGTTTACTATTCTGGACTTCAGGACTAATGCCACGAGGAACGAGATAGCAATGATATCAGAACATCTAACAGATATACTCAAGACGTATGATAAAAGAATACGCCCTGATGCTGAAGGTATCTTAATATTTAACAATTATTGGATGGGAATCGAGAAGATATGAAGAATATCCGATTTGTGAATTTCGCCTCGGTAGTCAAACACAATAGAATCAAAAACGAGACGCCATGCATAAAGCTTTCCTTGATTTTTCTTTGTGTGAGTACTGAGCCAAAATGCGCAAGTCCACTATTGTGCCCACTGAGGCGGCTGTTATAATATGTAATGTTCAAAGTCCGACTGGATCCAATCCAGTCCGATTTGGAGGACTTTGAAGGACTTCTTATACTCATAAATTATTCAAAGACCTTTTAAAGATTATGGTCTGAGAACGAGACTGATTTTATCATGCAAATGTTACAATCCACGTGTTTTGTAGGTCCACCCATCGAAATAATAGCAGAGTTTAAAGTTGGTTCATTGGGAGGAATCAGTGAATCCGAAATGGTAAAAAAATGAAGCATTTATTAGCTCACATACATTGAATTGTAACTCGTACTTAGTCTGTTATTGACACATATACACCTTGATGTATAAGAAAAGATAAGGAAAGAAAACGCACGGTTTTGCTGTTATTAATGCGACGTTTGACACCATTATCAAAAGACCTTTGAGTCTGATAGCCCAGAAAAATCTCATTTGGAGAAACTTGAAACTTATATCTCGATATTGTTGTCATTTTGCTTAAAAAAACAACAACAACAAGCAAACAAACAACACTTTGCCGATTGTTCACATAGTGAATCGATCATCTGTAGAACTAAGAATATTGAGAGAATAAGAAAGCCATAAAAATAAGTCCTTATCATTTTCAAGCGCGCGGGAGAAAACCCACAAGTSAAATGTATACGAGTTCKCAGACTCAAAATTCATAGCGAAAGTAYGAGTCAACACTACTTCAATCCCTGATACCWAACGAATAAATCGAATCTTRYTTTCTTGRATGTCCGTCAACCAGTKAAACAATTGACCAATCAYRGCGCAYATAAGAACGAACCAATGCTATCCATTTTAAGAAATGTTTCATTATTTTCTAGTCATATTCCATGGACATATTTTTTCGYCACTGGTGGAGTGAYCCTCGTTTGAAGTCAAACTTCAGCAAACCTATYACWYTATCAATGGACGCTTCATCGATAATCTGGATACCAGAYACGTACTTTGTCAACTCGAAGTATTCTAGTTTTCATAAAGTAATTGGTGACTGTATGCGGCTTATCATATGGCCTAATGGAACCATATATTACAGTGTCAGGTAAAGTATAATTTCATGTCTTATAAGATAATTAAATTAAAAAAAAAATGTTTTTCAAAAATTCTGCAAAAAGGCAACAATCAACGATCTTTAAAACAGTCGAACAGTCGCTCAAAAATGATTTCATGAACGCCATCTGGGAATATGGTTATTCCCTACATTGCTTGCGATAAATTTAATGCCATCAAACCATTTTTAAGTGACTCCTTCAAAGYTCGTAGATCTAATGAAGCCTCTCTTGACGTCACTTCATTAGCATTTTCAATTTTCAAATGCCTTTAACTCAGAAAATAAAATTCAAACAACTTTTATTTCCCTTCAAAACAAGGATTAGCATCATATTTGCGTTTTGTTAAAAATGATTTTCTAGAAGGGTTCATGTGCACTTTAAGAGTGTGCAAAATAATCTCTTGAGTCATGATATCGCTGAACCGTCTCAAAAATCCTACTAACTTTCATTTATGCCTCTATGTGTAGGGTTGATCTAGAGCTACGATGTGATATGGATCTACGACTGTACCCGTTTGATACCCAGCACTGCCCATTTATAGTGGAAAGCCGTAAGTAATAAGAAGGCCTATTCTAATCTACAGTCAACTCTCGCCTTACGGACACCCCGCTACAACGGACACCTCGATATTGCGGACAGTAGAATACTGAATCCCCGTTACTGAAAGTAACTCTTGTTACTACGGACTCTCGCTACTGCGGATATCAAATTACGGTCCCTAGGGTGTCCTTAATAGGGAGAGTTGACTGTATAAAGAAATTGTATTTTGAATTGAATTAATCACCAGACGCCTATACCAAAGATGACATCATCTACAAGTGGAACATGCAGAGAACAAAAGGCGTYGAGGTAGCATCCAATCAAACAGCCCAGTTTGTCCTCATGGAAGCCATAATACATAATAGTACAAGCGAGAAAATAGCAGGTTAGTGAAATTAAAAGGACTGAGACATTTACGTAGTGTGAAGAAAGTTGGCGCCTCAATTTGCAAAAAATAACCTGAGTATGATATGAAAAATTATTGTATGAGTCCAAGTATTATGCGAATAATTATTGGTATTGGTATGGTATGAATAATTATCGATTGAGGTCGGGTATGATATGGACAATT